ATATGAATGATATATAGGCCCTATACACATTGTCATCGTTATCAGCATCATCATTATCATCTCAATCAACCGAATAACCAACCGACAATTTCCTGCATCAATGTTTCTTTGCTTATATCTATATATATGTATATCTGCCACAATTGTTTACAAAACTAATGATTGAAATGAAAAAAAAATTCTAGACATAATTCAAATATTCGGGCACTAATAAATCAATCGTTTCACACTAAAATAAATCGTACCATTCACAATACCATTCATTTCATAACTAATTCTCTGTAGGTCCATAATATAGTAATCAGTCAGTCAGGTTAGTCAATCATTATTTAGTCAATCAGTTAGTCAGCAGTTAGTGCATGCGTCATCAGTCAGTCAGTCGGTCGATCGTTTATTCGATCATGACAATGATAAAATACGAGAATATTATTTTCATTAAACCAATATTGAAGGCTTAATTGTTAATAAAATAAAACAACAAGCAGACCATATCTATCTGACGATGTCTAACTGACAGTTGGGCGAAACTGTCATCCACATAATAACAGTGAATATTGGTTTACTTTAATAAATTTCTCTATGGAAATCATACATTTTTTCTATTATTTCTATAATCTATTTAAAACTGAAATGATAACTTTTTCAGTCATTCAGGATAAGAATATTGCAATAGTCTCATTATAAAATCGATAACTAGTGCATGCAATTTTTTTAGAATACATATATTTCTCTTGTATTCTAAACCTCTAAAACACACGTTTGCGATCAATATACTCTCATTCTTTTGAAGTATTCAAACAATAAAGTAGATGATATATAAACGAAATTTCATGTCATGCTGGCAGACTCCGAAGGCACAATGCCGGTCGATACACATCGGTAGGAGTCTTTGACCGCTGTCTGTAGGCCTGATATATTAATTCTGAGATCACGAAATATCGTTGACTATGACCAAGGCAATAGAAACCTAATAATAATATTAGTATCGGCAAAATGAGTAAGGATTGATTAGTTTATGATTACGAATTGTTTCATGTCAGTAGTAGTAGTAGTAGTAGTAGCAGTAGTAGTAGTAATAATAAAATAATAATAATAATAATAATAATGATAATAATAATAATGATAATGATAATGGCAAGATCATAATTGATAATAATAATAATAATAATGCCAATGATAATAATAATAATAATTACTAATAATGATAATAATAATAATGATAATCACAACAAATATTTATAATGCGCCAATTCAAAGATTTATCAAAGGAGTATTGGACTAGATGTTGCACTTTTCAATACTTTTCTCTTCCCCTGAGGGTCACTTCATGTCCTCTATTATGAATATACTGGTTGTAGGCCTAAACATATATATTGATATAAGTATATTTAGGGCCTATTACATTAAACAACTCTAAATATGCTAATAACTTACCAATTAAGATAAACTGCTTACATTTTCTGTTAGTCTTTCTCAAGATAAATTATATTTAGGCCTAATATAATTTATGTCTGTATATTACTAACTGATATTGGTAGTGACTTATAAGAGGTTTTTATATATGTTTTATATTTCACTTCTGTAACAGGTAAAACACTTTTGGTTATAACACCTGACTAAAAATAATTGATTAATGTTTGAATGTAATCACAGATTGATGGGTTTGTAAACTCACCAGCTAAATTCGTTCCTGGAGTATATGATTGTGTCGTTGGAATGATACTAAATGGAGCGGTAGAGGAATGCGGAGACTGGCCCAGATGCATTGGCGTCAAATTTGTGCATGCTGATGTGGGTGCCCCGTCCGGCAGCCCATCAACATTACATATTAGTACTAAAATTCCTATGGTCAAACCAGAAGATATACCCGAGCTAATCCGCGATTTACCAGCCATTGCTTCTCGTCGTGTATGCACTGTAACCAGGCGAGGAATACAATTCATTCGTCTACAGCTCTTTGGCAGACGATCAGCGATACGTTACTGTGAGCACGCTGAATAGAAAACAACCCAGCCGTGTACTGTATCTTGAATTACATTGTTGTTAATCACACACCCTTTTCTTGTAACTGGGATTATTAAAAAAAAAAAAACAAACAAAAAAAAAACCCCAAAAAACAAATTGAGGGCTGTAGCATAATTTGAACATTTTCATACATAATGTTAATGATAATAACTTAATTTTTATACTTTTGAATCAATGGCACACGTTATGAGGTGCGTTCGCAATAACCATAGGCCTAAAAGACTATAATACTGAATCAATGAGGCTTCTCTCTTTTTGGTGCCTGAATGGTGTTAGTGCCTGAATGGTGTTATATTAGGCTCTTTCTAAATATAAGCAGGTTGGCCGATTGGGCTAACTAGTGTTTAAAAAAGTCTCGTCTCGTCATTTCAATTAAGGACCCAATTATCCACACAATATACTGTATCTACTGATTTCGATGAAGCTAAAAACTCCAATAGAAATGTGAACCGACGATTTCGATTCGCGCGAATAAATTCGCCTAGTGGAAAACAGGCTTTAATCTCAAAACCAAGCCCATCTCGAAATAAAGGCCCTTTCACACTTGCAAAATTAACCTCAAAAAGAAGCTAGGCCAGTTAACAATTGTTTGTTTTTACTGATGGATTTATTATATAGGCCTATCTTTTAGGCCTATAAAAAATTATTTTTATATTATTTTTTAACAGGATTTCATGGATAAAAATGTTTCAGGAGTCCTATTGTTTATAGTAACGGTAATTCCAAAAATTTAAAGGAGGTCCCCACCCCCCACCACACCACCCACCATCTCTTTGCTTTGCAAAACTAGTCTCGAGAAAAAGCCCATTTTGAAAGAAGTCTATCCAAAGTTCCTAAAACGGAAGTACAGGGCTTATATGTAGCCTATATAGCCTATATATATA